GTGACAAGACTTATTTGGGGAACTCAAAATTATTCTCTTGACATTTTCTACTGGAACAAACTGTCACATTTTTTTTATTAAAGAAAAAATGACACATAAACGTGTGGGGTGATAGTTTTCCCATATTTCATTATTAATGTCCTATATTTTGTCACAGGGATTTGAGGAAAAACATGGTCAAAAAGCTCGTACCAGGAGTATTTACAGATCTCTCTTCGCTGATGGTGTTGTAAGTTTCACAGTCTACATTTCAACAAACGATATATTTATGCTATTATTTGTCGTGTCTCTTCCAAAAGGATCAGTAGGCCTTGTGTAAAAACGGTAAGGGCAGGAAAGTGCTAAAATTGTTTACCCAAAAATACTTTCGCAACATACTCATGGCGCACCACTAGTAAAAAAAATGGTATTCAAGAAATTTTGGTTGTCAATCGAAAGTACGTAGCTGTGTTTTTACGTAAATCCACTCATAGGGAATGTATTGATCCAATCTGCTCCACAATTATAACATAAGTCCTTTACTCGCCGTCCGGTGGCTAATATTCCCTTTCTTAGCAAAGTTATCGAGAAGGTAGCAGCAACACAAGCATACAACTATCTTGAAACTTACAATTTGATACCCACTATGCAGTCTGCGTATAGGAGACACCACTCCAGGGAAACGACTTTGCTCCGTATGATAAACGACATTCTGAGAACGATTGACCGCAGTCAAGATGTTGTATTAGTCCTTCTTGATCTATCAGCGGCCTTTGATGTGATTGCTCGCCATAACCTCAACTCTTTGTTTTATGCCGATGACACTCAATTATTATTATTATTGTTATTATCATTATTATTTTTTAATGCTTCAACACTTTATTGCAAACATTACAAAGTATTACAAAACAATACATTGAATAAACAAATAAATAAATAAATTACACTACTTTACACAAAAGAGCCGTGGTGATTATATAATGAAAACTTATAGTAAGCACAGGAGAGGTTTCCATAGAGAGAGAAACTTGTTAATTAGCCCTTTGGATTGGAGTATACATTCATGTACAATTAGCTTGCCTTTAACAACAAAAAAAAAAAACAGGTCGATGTTAGGGGTCCTCCGTGCGAATCTCTAATCAAAAATTTGTCTCTTTCCCAATAAAATAAAATAATTGAAATTAGAGTTCTTTTGTCTTCTGGATAGTAACCATAAAGTATGCTTAATTCATCTACAAGGTAACAGTCTCCGCTTTGATGATTCCTTCAGGAGATTATTTTTGCCCAGAAACTGTTAATTTCGGTACAATTGACTAGCATATGGGGAAGTGTTTCTAAAGAGTTACAATGAAGGCAAAGCCAGGAGTTTGAAGTCTTCATCTTATATAATTTGCTGCCATACGGTAGAATATTGTGGATTATTTTGTACTGGAACATACATAATTTAGTATCCTTGGTTAAGCGAAATGGCAAAGTGTAAATTGCTTTAAGCTTGTTAGAATCAAGACCTAGTCTGCATAGCCTAGAACTAGCCAAAGGTTTCTAGAATTTCCTTTCTATTAACCGTTTGCGAATACTTTTGCAGCTGTTTTCAGCTGTTCGTTTCAACTTCTGCTCACTGAAATTAGAGTCCAGCCTGAGAGCTGCACGTTTCCATTTGTCTGGAATGGCCGTAATAAGACCGTAGAAATTACTAAAAGGCGGCCTAAGGCCGGTTTTCTTGCAGAAGTCTTCATAACTTAGAAGTTTACTATTTTCATTCAACAAGTCACAGATTCTTTCTATAACTGCAGCGTGTCAGTCTTTCCAGTATATAGACTTGCCTGCTATGGTTATATTTTTATTATTCCACAGAATTATATTTCCTGGATTGGCTCGGTCATCATCTCGCTCTGCGCACCTTGAGCATCAGCCCAAGATTTAAGAACATCTATATAGAAGGCTTGCACGGTGTTAAGATTTAAAAGACTAATATCATAGTTGCAATCAAAAAGAAAGGGTCCACCAACTTTTTCTAGATAAAATGATGGAATTATCATCCACTGATTACCTACTCCTTCCTGCATTCTTCGGACCCAAGCACATTGCAAAGATTTGGAAAAAGTTTCATACTTCGGCAAATCAAGTCCGCCTTGATTCTTTGAACCTATAAGGGTGTCGCTCTTAATTTTTGGCTTCTTTCCTTTCCAGACAAAATTAACAATCAGTCTGTTCACCTTATCTATAACATGAGCGGGTGTGCAAATGCAGGCGCTCGAGAAAAGCAGTTTTGACAACCCCAGTGTTTTAGCTATTGTTATTCTACCGTATACCGAAAGGTCGCGTTGTGACCAAACATTAAAAAGTGTTTTAAGTTTGTTTATTTAAGGGGTGAAGTTTTCCCACTCGCAATTTTTATAATTGTATGAAAAAGATGTCCCTAGAGCACAGATAGGTGTTTCCGGCCACTTAATTCCAAAGGGAGTATCCTTCCTGGCTGCATTTTTCCCGAGCCATAATGCTTCTGTTTTTGCAGTGTTCAGTTTGAGCCCACTACAATCACCGTAAATGTCTAACAATTCCACAATTTTCCCAAGCGAGAGTTCATCCTTACAAAAATTGGTGGTATCATCGGCGTACTGGGATAATTTAATTTCTCTATTGGCGAATTGAATTCCTTTTATTTCTTTACAAGATCGTATTCAGGCGGAAAGTGTTTCTACAGCTAATACAAACAGTAATCCCGACAAAGGACAGCCTTGTCTGACGCCACGTTCTAATTTAAACCAACTGGACGCATATCCATTATTAGTTGTGTAGCTTGAAATGTTCGAGTAAAGAATTCTTACCCAATTCTTAAAGTCATTGCCAAATTGAAAGACATCTAAAGCCTTAGAGAGAAACGCCCACTCTAAGCTATCAAAAGCTTTTTTGAAGTCTATAAAAAGGGCGATGCCTTCTCGATTTTGCTCTGCTGTGAAATGCGTAATATTCGGTAACATGCTGATATTTTCTCCGATAAACCTTCCTTCGATATAACCAGTTTGTACGTCACTTATGATTGATGGGAGTACTTTTCCAAGTCTCAAGGGGAGAGCTTTGGTGGCGATCTTGTAGTCTACATTCAAGAGTGAGATGGGTCGCCAGTTCTTGAGCAACGATAATTCTTATTTTTTTTCGGAATAAGTCTAATAATAGCCTGTCTTTGTGAGATCGATAACTGTCCCTTTACAAAGCCATAGTTAAAACTGTTGGTCCTTGTACTACTCAAATGGTCCCAGAAAAAGCTGCAAAATTCAGCTGTTAGACCGTCTGTCCCGGGAGATTTGTTATTCTGAAAGCCTTTCAGCGCATATCTGCACTCGGTCTCCGTTACTAGTCCTTCACATCTTTCTTTTTGATCATTATCGAGTGTCTTTATCGTTTCATTTTGAAAAAACTTATTAAATCTCGAATCATCGACTTGTGGATTCTGAGAGGAGTATAGATTTTGGTAACAGTTTTTTTGTTCTTGTAATACTTCTTCAGGATCCGATGTTGAACTTCCGTTGTCTCTTTTGAAGCTGGTAATACGTTTATTCTCGTAATTTCTTTTTTTCAAGATTAAAAAAGTATTTGGAGCTTCGTTCTCCAAATTTGCGCCATCTTGCCTTGAAGCGAATGCATGCGTCTCGGGATTGATCAAAGGAGATTTTTTCGAGTTTCGACTTAACGTTCATATGCTCATTGATGTGCTCAGGTGTTGATTGACTGTCCACCAAATTTTGCAGTCTTTCAGCTTCTTTATTTAGGGACGACCATTAGAAAAGTTATGGGGGGGGGGGGCGAAGTACAAAAAAATATTCGCGCAAGGGAAAACTGAATTGAAAAAAATTCATGCACGCCAATTAATCCTAAAAAATATTCATGCTTTGGCCTAAAAAAAAATTCATACAAGGAATTTGACAACGAAAAAAATTCTTGCGGCTCGAAAATTCCCCTCCCCCCCCTCCAAAACTTTTCTAATGGTCCGTCCCTTAGTGAGGAATTTTTCTTGGTCTCTGCATTTTTTGCTTCTGTCTTAGTGAAGGTGATTGTAAAAGATCTTATTTCCATTTTAACCATTTCCCAGAGGAGCCCTTTGTCTTCAAGATCTTTGTATTTGTCAATAAACTGTGGAATTTTTTCTGCCATAGTGGCTGTATAATCACCATTTTCTAAAAGAGAGGAATTAAATTTCCAAAAGCCTGGTCCTCTTGGCTGTCGCACTTTTTTCTCAATTTCCATGCACACTGACGAATGATCACAGTGTGGAGCAAAATTTATTTCGCAATTACGCGCGAGAGATTGTTGAAGAAGTTGCTTTGATGTTAACCAGTAATCTAACCTGCATTTAATTTTTTGATCTGATGTTCGCGAGGTAAATTGCTTCTTATTTGGGTGCAATTTCCTCCACACGTCTTCCAGATCTAAACTACACATTAGAGATTTTATCTCCTCAGCTACACGATATTTATAGGAGAAGTCACGGCCTCCTTCCTTATCTTCTTTAGATAAAGTGCAGTTAAAGTCGCCTCCTAAAATAATATTCTCCCTAGAAAACTTTTGGGGAATATTATTTAGATGTATTAATAGAATCGGTGCTGAGCGCCGGGATCGTTTGGTGCTTAAATATTAGCACAAACAAGCTTCGTATCATCAATTACCACCTGCAAAATAAGGATTCGACCATCTTCGCTTTGCATTTGGTTTTCTATCGTTACCTGAATTTTTGGGTTAAATAAAATGGCAACACCTTTGCTGTGCTTGCTACCGTGGCAGAAATGAATTTTACTACTCCATTCACTGCTCCATAACTTTTCTTGATTGGTTGAGCTGTACGTCTCTTGTAGAAAACTTACTGAAGCATTCTTATTATGAAGTTGTCTGAAAATAGCTCGTCTTTCTCGCGAACTATTTATGCCCCTAACATTGAGCGTAATAAAACTTAATCTGTGCATAGCTAATCATAATTGTTTATGGAAACGACCATCTTGTGATAAGCGGCTCCCATTGCGCATAAGTTACAGAAGGATAACAATAACAATACAGAACAACACATAGAAACAGTTTACCTCCTCGAAGGAGTTCACGAGTTTGGCCGTGCGGGGTTCCAAAAACCTCGAACTAGCAACAGACGGCGATTAATGTTCTCCTGCTAATAGCATTTTTACTTTTCCATTTCGCTCTCCATTTTCTTCAGCTCTTCGTTTCTTACAGTTATAACTTTGCCCTTCGAGTCCGAATACTTTAACGTGGCCGGGTAGGCTATGAAAACCCTGCATTCTTGCTCTTCTAGCTTCTTTTGAAGATGTTTCTTGAAAGGAATAAGCGCTTTTCGGCGTTCTTGGGTGTCTTTTGCGAAGTCAGCTCCAATTCCGATTAGATTTCCATGAAACGGATTATCTTTAAGTCTAACCGCAGCATTCGCCAGAATCTTCGTCTTATCCGTGTATTTTAGAAAGGCTACGTGGATCGGTCTTGGACTCTTTCTGTTTTTGTTTAATTGCGTCGGAGTACGATTAGCACGCTCAATTTCGACGTATCCACACAATGTTTCCAAGCCCATGTGCGAGGCTATGAAGCCTTGTATGAAAGCCACACAATTATCGCCTTCTGACTTTTCCGGAATGCTATAAAACATCGAGTTATTTCTTCGGGAACTGTTGCGAAGATCTTCTACTTCTCTTTCTTAGTCTTCTAGCTGCTTTAAATCTGCAGCCTTCCGCTTCATACTTTCTTTAATTTCAGCAACGTCGTCGTTGACTGCGTTTAAGCCTTTTTCAAGTTCAGTTACATTGCTTTTCATATTGGTAATATCGTGCTTAATTGTGGATAACTGATTGTTGATTTTGTCCAGCATATCCAGCTTTTCTAGCTTCTTTCTTCTGTATATCTTTCAAAATGGCGTCGTCAACGAGCACATGGGCTGAGATTTCTTCCTGGGAACTTGACACACGCGTTCGTTTTTCGCTCGGTTTTGGTGGCGTTGCTATTTAACAAAGATACGTGTTTAGACGAAAGACTTTCTACTCATTTGTTTTGCCGAAACCTATCGTAAAGAAGGCTTGTTCAGGAGAACTCAGAAAAGCGTCTACTCCATAGGCTCGTCCTCGTCCCAGTCCGACACTCAATTATATATAGCTATCGGTCCTGCAAATCAGGCCCCCTCCCTGACTGCCCTCCAAACCTGCATAGAGGACGTAATGCAATGGAATACCCAAAATATGCCAAGACGTAATGCTGAAAAGACAGAGGTTATTTTATTTACATCCCGATTTACCAAGACACCTAACATTGAGAAGCTCTTTTTTGACAGTACCGTGATTGAACTAACTGAGAAAGTCCGTGATCTTGGTGTTATTTTAGATAAAATCTAACACTGACATACCACATTAATGAGACATGAAAAGTGCCATCAGGTCCATAGGGCGCATTCGTAAATACCTCATTAACGAAAACCTCAAACTGTTAGTCAATGCTCTTGTAATATCACGACTGGACTACTGTAACAGTATCCTTTATGGTCTTCCAAAACGAGAACTGGACAAACTTCAAAGAGTTCAAAACACTTCAGCACGTCTCATTACTGGAACTAAACAATTCGACCACATCAAACCTGCTCTTCAGAAACTACACTGGCTGCCAGTTGAATCACGTATAATATTCAAAGTTATTCTTATTACTTTCAAGATTCTTCATGGACTTTCTCAGGCCTACTTGTCGTCCCTGCTATAAGAATATCACCACGTAGTCTACGTTCATCCTTCCAATCACTTCTTACTGTCCCCACTATGAATTCTATGACATGCGGTGAACGTGCGTTTTCCATCTGTGCACCTACATTATGGGATACTCTTCCCGATTCTCTTAAAAATGCAGCTTCCCGTTCGTCCTTCAAATCTGCCTTAAAAACATTCTTATTGCGGAAATTTTATTTTTAGTAACGAGAAACATGATATAGGTTTCTATTTTATTTAAATTTATTCTATATCAGTGTAGGTATTATCATTTTTCAATTTTATAATCGACTGTTAGTATCATCATTATATTATTTTTTTATTATGACATGTAAGCGCATTGAGATATCTAAATGCGCTCATAAAAACCTTACTATTATTATTATTATTATTATTATTATAAATTAGCGTGTTTAGGGGAGCTGTAATTGCTTGCGAGCGATCGCGGGTCAGCTTCCTACTAATTACATTACGAAATTAAAAGAAAAATTGTGGAATGAAAGATCGTAAACATGCGAAGCTGGTTGCTTAACTATCATCCGGTACATTCATTATGTGTGACGTGCTTCTTAGTTATAATTAGCACCAAAGAGTGCCAAACAGGCGTACTTACAAAGGTAGGAACGATACTGCTGTGTAGTTTACATTTTTAATGGAATTTTTCATATTTGATTTCCTCTTCTGCGCAATGTACCCATGTCCCGGCTTGGCGAATGTTAGCAAGCAATGCATAAAGTGTAAAAATTACTCCAAATTTTGTCCCGTGAAAGACAGGAGGCTGCGCGGTTGGTTGGTTTATAATTATGATGTTACGTGAAACCGCTTTGAATCGTTCGCAGATTGGGTGCAAAAGTAGTGGCGATTAAATGTTGTACAGTTCCTTGTCAACGAAGAAGATTTGCGAGACTCTATTCTGGTCAAACACTCTTTCCTCTTTCGTGAACGGTCAGACCAAATTTGTTAAAGAATGTTTTAATAGTCAAATGTTTTGCCTCGTAAGTCAAACAAAATCTTTTTCTATGACTAAGTATATTAACCCATGAGTGGACGAAGTTACATGCTCTACTAAAAATTTATGGTCAAGCCTTAATCTGCTCTGGTATGTTCGCACCAAACGTTGCTTGTACCCTGGCATTTTCGGTGACGTTAAGTTTCCTGAAGTTCATACCTTGCTGTTACCTACAAGCAATATCTTCCTGTTTCAATACCAGCACTCACTTTCACGTTGAAAATCCTAATACACAAATCCATGCAATTCTGGAGTTACTTATTGGAACATTATGCTGCAAAACGGGTTGGAAAGTAATGTTGAGCGTTTTATCACCGACACTCAAACCTGTCTTGCAACAAATCATGTTTTTGGAAATTGCGTCAATACTGACTTCTGATTGGATAAAATCACGCGGGAATCACGCCATGCAAAGGAGTTATGTCACTTGCTGCAACAGAGGTTTGCCCTAGGTCGCCAAAAAGTGCCAAACGTAAAGAGTTTGTTATAAGAAAAGTAGAACTACTCACTCTTTACTACCTTCGCAACCTGCAACAACCTAGTTTTTTGCAAGACAGGCTTGATAAAGGTGTGGTAAAACGCGCAACACCGCTGTTGATCTCAATCTGCAGAAATTTTGTAAAACAAGTTGCACTTTTTTTCGCACGCTTTACCGTACTTTAACAAGTCTGATCTGTGTAGATCTGATAGGTATAGGCATAATTCTCTTCTCAGAAGCCTTTTAAGCAAACGCATCTAGTCATTTTCCATATTGCTTATGGTTAATTAGCTTACGTAAGGTTTTTAAACCGCTATTTATGGCTTTTGGAGTATCAGTTAAATAATAATATATATCTAACTAGACAAGGACAAAGGTTAAGCGCCTATTTATATGCTGTTAATTACTGAAAACCTAGAAATTACAACGAATAAGCTTCGTCCTATGCTAATTCAGAAATTAATACTTAACTGATTAACAAACAACAACAAAAACAGAAACAAAAAGAGAAAATTATGAATCAAATTCGATCACAGTAATAGTCTTGGCGGCGGGTCTAAAAAATACGGGTCACTTTATTTCCACAGTTCAGAGTACAGGTCACCAAGATCCAGATAAACGAATGGCATTAAAAGTGTGTCCTAGCCCTATTAGATCGATGAGAATCTGTGTGGCTTGGTAATTTATCGATGGAACAGTAAACTGTATTCTTGACCTGTGGAATGTGACCTGTACTTTAGACCCGGCCTTGATAAGCTATTTAGCCCATAAAATTAAATGTTTTATAAAGGCTGGTTGTTATTCTCGAAATTCTTTGGCTGCGTTCAGTTTACAGTTTATGTTCATAGGTCAATCTTTCCTTCTCAAAGGGATTCTGCCTATATGGTAAATTAGGCCGATTTTGGTGTTTAGAATATGTTTCCTTTGCAAAATTGCACCGGCAAACTGATTCCTGTAAACCTTTCAGATTATACATCATATCTGATACTCTTTAACCTTTAGTGTAAGTTACAATTTTTGTTTCTTTTGGCGGAAAGAGCCAGGAAGGTTGATAACTTATTTAACATTTCCCTCTATGAATATTAAAACTTACCATAATTTGTACCCTACACAAACTGCGGTTTGCATGTTGTGCATTTTAATGCAGCTAAATGTGCCCTAGACTTAATCTTTAGCAAAGTTCTGAGTCTGTCCGTAAAATAATCGATAAACCCTATATGAAATTTGTTTTCGGCGAGAGTGAACAATGTAAGTTAATGTGTAGACACGGGCGCAAAAACACACCATGCTTACAAAGGTAACCACTAACACACGCCCTCAAAGAGTTTTTTCTTCGGTTCAAACCTGCCTTTTGGGAGATAGGATTCTTTCCTCTTTTCTCAAGCACTCGAAAGAATATGTCGCCGTTTAAGTCTTTTTTTGTCACAATTTTGCTTTAGGATCTGACACCGCTTACTACATATTTACACACTGTAAGTTACAACCACATATTAAGCTTTCTCAATACACGTTTGCAATTCGTCTGAGTTCTTGCTAGTTCTAAATTCTATTCTATAAAGAATGATAAGTAGATCTGCAGGTTACAAAGTTCATTTTCGAAAACAGCCTCCATTATGAGGAAACGTTTTCCCTTGTCGGTGTGATATCTTTCAGTTCTTTGAATTTACACTTCTTGGCAATTTGTCCACGGCTCCCGTGTTTTCGTACAATCAAATAAGTCTTAACTGACCTGAAAACCTTTACGTAAACTATAGAGAATGTTTTGGCAATTTCAGTTAGCTCACAGAGACCTCAATGTAATCCTTAATCTTGTGAAATAATCAAAAATGCCGCCGTCATTCCAAATTGTTCTTGTAAGTTATCGCTCATCATTCAGCGATGAGGAAAACGTCTCTGTCAGAGCGAGTGGAAAACCATGCAAACAGTTGATTGACGTCCACGAAAACTCAGATTAAACAAAGAGAAAAAATCCCTTGAGGGCGCATGTTCGTGATAACCGCTGTAAACCATTTTCAGACTTTCATTCACGCGTCATTTTGACACAGTCCGCGAAAGGAAAAAACAGTTGCATAATGCATCAGTCAATTCCAGCTGCGCCCAGCTCCCCCTGGGCTGCTGCAGGGCATTTGCAAATTTTGCGCTACCCGGGGGCTGGGCATTTGCCAACCCCGGGCTATTCCCGAGCTTTAGACACGCACGCGGTTTCCTATCAGAGTATAACTACACAGAGGATATTACCGAAAAAGAAAAACAGTTTGGCTCATCTGTCAAGGACAGGGGGTGGTAAACGCATGTTCTCGATTTTATGCACGCATTTCTTCATTGCCTATCAAGCCAGAATTGCATAGCGAAACTCGGGAGCTAACGACGTGAATCAACGTTTTTTGGTTAGTATCCTTTCATATTTACAACCTGTTCATAACATATAACTTTACAGCGCTCTATTAATTTTACTGTCAATAATTTTATATCAATACTAAAAGCATAAACCGGCGCACGTCATCGCGGCATGAAGTCTTAATTAGAATCCTAGCGCAGCTGGAATTGACTGATGCATAACACCTAGCAAGATTATGACAGACAATCAAACTATAAATAAAACTTCAGTGAAAGATTTACAACAACAACAATTTTTATTCAAGACAGCAAGTAAGAAAGCAAGACGTTCGCCAATTAACCTTACTTTTTACCGACAACCACTAGAACTGGGTATTCTCTAAAACCTTTGTCTTACCATTTGTCACCAAAAAATTAATTTAAGCTTGTGTATATTAAACGCGAGGCCATAGAAATCGTCTCTTTGTGTCACATGTTCATTGCAGGTCATGACATGAAACAAGAGAGAATAATCTCTCTTGTATGAAATAACTACGCCTGACGTTATAACAAACCTAAAACGAGACAAAAACTGTAAAATGTACTCAGGCTCACCTTGGGTGCAGCTCCTGAAAGCAATTAAGTGAGCATGTTCAACTTTCAGTTTCGTTGAATCCCGTAGGGGACGTTTTCGTCAACCCAAAACCAAATAAACAAACCAGCTTCGAAAAGCAGAAGAAACTTGATAGCAGCTGTATCTCATTTTGAGGCAGTAGTGGAAGAACAATTTTGAAACTTAGCTGGAATGAATAATGGGACTTCAGTTGTCCGCAAGTCTGTTGCATAGGTTTTCACACATAAATTCACCAGACAAAGTTTTGACCAAGCGGGGAAGGGGGGAGGCAGAGACTAGGTTGTTCCGGAAGCTTTACCAGGTAAAAAGCAAAGCTTTAGAAATGTCTTTTCAAACATTTTGTGGTAAATCAAACACAAGAAACTTCAATCTAGACTTTTACTCGAGCAACTGCGTTGGTTGCCCCTAAAAGGGCTTTTTTTGTGCCAAGACAAAACGCAACGTAGATGTCTGGGACTCCCTTCCCTACCCTAGTGAGTTTTTTATCCCTACTTTCAGAGTCTGTACGTACGTGCGGGTGTAAAGAACAAGACGAATAAGCAAAAATTGAAAATTGGGAGATTGGGCCGAGTGATGGTGGAGTAGGAGCACCCAAAAAGCCGTCCGCCTTCCAAAAGTTCTTTATGGCCGAAAAACTGTCTAACTATATTAGAAAACGCAGAAATCGATCATCGACAAGCTCCGGAGGCTAGACCTCGCCATTTCAAGAGGCAAAAAAGCCCAGAGATCTAACAGAAACAGAAGACAAAAGCACAGGTAGCGACCACGAGACAAATGACGAAGTCATGGCGGCTCTCGACAAAATAGAACACATCGGAGAAAAACTTAACTCCATCATTGATAGACTGAGTAAACTTGACTCAATCGAAAGCACAGTAAGAAATATAGAAACCAATTTGGCGAATCTCAAGACAAGAACAGCAAAGCTCGAAGAGTTTCAAGCAACGGCCAAGACTGACATAGCTGATCTAAAGAAGTCTTGCAGTTTCAATACTGACAAATGTAAGGAATATTGAGGTGATTTAAAAAATGAGATTGACAAGCAGAATGAAAGAATTACCTCTCTGATTGAGAGTGAGAAGAAACTCAACCACCAAATGGACGAGATAATATCCAAGAACCTTTATCTCGAAGCTTACTCCAGGAGAGAGAATATTAAATTTTTTAATATCCCTGAAGCACGAGAAGAAGATACCGAAGAAGTTCTAAGAAGTTTCATAGAGAGAGATCTCGGATACCGTAATGGCTGCAGCGTGGAAATCCAACGCGTACACCGTCTATAAAACCGACGTAATAGCAACACAGCTCCACGTCCTATAATCGCCAGATTTCTTCGATATAAAGTTGTCGAGGAAATTTTCTCCTTGGGCCGACGTCTAGAGGGGACCGATTTCCAAATGTTCCGCGATCTTCCATTGGAAATCATCAAGCGCCGGAAAGATCAAATGACAGTTTTCAAACAAGCACGACGACAAGGTATGAGAGCATCTTTCAGCAAGAGCCAGCCCGACAAGCTGTTTATAAACGGCAGTTTCTGGCCTCCGGGCAAGTGCCTCGATGCAACAGAAGCAGCTGAGTAACTGTTTTTCATGATTGTACCTCAGAACTTTACTCTCCTTATTTATAGATCTAGGGTGGCGGGCGGCTTAGCTGTCCCGACTGGTAATAACTACTCGACCAGGTTTTTGCTTTCCTTTACGCGCCCGCTAGCCACGCGAAACCCCAATCTGATAAGGTTTTTTTTATAGTTAAATTGTTTATGTTTTGTTGTGTTATTTTTGGTTACTTTAGCTGTTTTATATGTAATTGTTTGTGTTTCCGTGCCACCAGTTTGCTTTTCGTATCAGTACAACGCTGTTTTGTCGACTCCAGTGTGCATAGCTTTATAAACTACTTCGATAAAATTATACCTACAGCTTTCGGATTCAATTTTTTCTTTCAAAGCTTAAAAATTACAATTTCTGAGCTGTATGCAAAACATCTTCGCTCGGCCATAACGCTGTTATTGTCGATTAATCAAACAGTGCAGATATCTATTATATCTCCTTTTTTTATATACAGAATAGATAACAATACTATCACGGTAGCTTCTCTCAATGTACGGGGCCTTGGGAATAACGTTAAAAGAAGAGAAATTTTTAATTGGCTCAGATCTAAGAAATACTCGATTTACATGCTGCAAGAAGTACAATGATCGCAAGAAAATTCACACCTATGGGCTGCTGAATGGGGGTACAAAAGCCTTTTCAGCTCATTTTCCAGCAGCAAAGCTGGGGTAAGCATTCTTTTCAACAATAATTTCGATCTTCAAATTATGAAAACTTTCATCGATGACTCAGGGCGCCTTATCTTGTGTGACTTAAAAACAAAATTAATGGAAAAAGTATAACCTTAGCAAATATTTACGCGCCAAACGAAGATGATCCAGCTTTTTTTAAGAATCTCCTTGATCACCTTGAAGATTTCGAAGGAGAGGAAAGACTTATCTCCTCTTTTAATAAGTGCACTCAACTATTCACATGATAAAGGAGCCCTTTCGATCACACAGAGACGCGGAATCATTAAACTCATACCAAAAAAAGACGCAGAACCGCACTTCATTAAAAACTGGCGGCCCCTTACTCTCCTCAACTGCGACTACAAAATAGCTGCGAAAGCTATCGCAAACCGAATAAAATCTGTTATCCCAAAACTTATCAATAACGACCAGACCGGTTTCCTAAAAGGAAGATTTATTGGAGAAAACATTAGATTGATAGATAACATTATAAATTACGCTTCTCAACAAAATATCCCTGGGCTATTGCTCTTTGTAGATTTTGAAAAAGCCTTTGATTCGCTTGAATGGTCTTTTATTGAGCGCACGCTCCAGCACTTTGGTTTCGGCTCTTCTTTGATAACCTGGATTCAAACATTTTACAAGAACATCGAAAGCTGTGCCCTAAAAAATGGCTGGACGAGTTGCTTTTTTCAACCACAAAGAGGTGTTAGGCAAGGTTGCCCTCTTTCGCCGTACCTATTTATACTATCTGCTGAAATTTTAGCTAAAGCAACCAGATCGAACAAGAATATTAAAGGAATATCTGTAAACAACTCAGAAATTAAAATTAGCCAGTATGCAGATGACACAACTTTCATTCTTAACGGTACTAGAGATTCATTATCCGCCACACTTAAGATGATCGAGACTTTTAGCAGTATGTCTGGTCTCAGACTCAACAGTAAAAAGACTGAAGCTCTATGGATTGGATCAATGGCAGGAAATAAGGAAAAACTGGTTCCCGAGAAGAATTTTAAATGGCCAGAAAACAAAGTTAAGGTCCTTGGCGTTTGGCTTTCTACCGATCCTGATATCACATTAAGCTTAAACTATAGGGAAAAAGCGGATAAAATTAAAAACATATTAAGCAATTGGAAATATAGGCGGCTAACGTTACTCGGCAAAATCCAAGTTATTAAAAGCTTAGCGGCATCTCAACTTACGTATATTTTAGCTCCGCTGCCGACAAATCATAAAATTATCAAAGAAATAAACGATCTTTTCTTCAGCTTTTTTTGGAACAATATAAGTGCGATAAGATTAAGCGAAGTGTCATGACAAACGACTATAACAATGGAGGGTTAAAAATGATTGACATCGCTTCATTTACCAAATCGCTCAAGACTGTTTGGATCAAAAAATACCTTGACGACTCTAACCGCGGAAAATGGAAATACTTTTTTGAAGTAGAACTTAAGAAGTACGGCGGCAAACTAGTCTTCACATGTAATTTACACAAACGTGACATTTCAAAGTCGACATCGGTCCAAGACCCATTTCTACAAGAAATTTTAGGAATATGGTCAGAAATTAATTTTGATGCTAAAATCAAAACCGAGCAGCAATTCCTTGAACAACATATATGGCATAATTCGCTGATTAGGATCGAAAACAGACCGGTCTTCTACAAACATCTTTTCCTGCATGGAATCACTAAGGTAGCCCACTTAATGACAGACTCGCGGAATTTTCTCCCCCTAGCAGATTTTATCAACACTTACAAAATACAAATACAACCCATAAAGCACTTCGGCTTAATTTCTGCCCTTCGACACCATTATAAGACTAACTTTCTTAGTAAAGAACCTAGTAGCACAGACATTCCCAATACCTCCCCCGAGACCTTCTCCGAGACTTTTTTCAAGAACGATAAAGTGAACAGAGTTGTATACCAGAAGCTCTTCTCTTCCAAAAGTACCGTACCGTTTAAGAGCCAAGAGAAATGGAATGACAGCATTAAATCCGACCAAAGATGCTCTGCTGACTGGACCAGGGCCTATTGTCTGGCAGCTAGGTGCACAAAAAGCACAAAACTTGTAAACTTTCAATTTAGATTCCTTCACCGAATTTTACCAACGAACCTTTTCCTAACAAAAATCGATATAAAGCAGGACCCGAACTGCTCTTTCTGTACCATCCATCCCGAAAACCTAATCCACCTCTTCTGGAACTGTACAATAGTAGCCACCTTTTGGGAAAATTTGACTGAAAAACTAAAGCAGATCAATCTAATAACGATAGATTATCCAAAATACACTGCTGTATATCTGGGTCTGAAACCAGACACCTCCAAGTTTTCACTTCAACTAAATTTCCGCTTTCTCCTGGCAAGATATTATATATGGAGCTGCAGGGTCAACCAGAAAATTCCGAATTTAACAACTTTTCTTATGTCCCTTAAATCGCAGTTTTACATAGAGTCCAACAACATTGATGCAACTTCTAAGAAATGGAATCCTTTACGTCCACTTCTCAACGTTACATAGCTTTTGGTAAAATAAAAGCTTTCCTATTTATCCATTTTCTGTAAATGAACCAAGGCCAAAGTGTAATTGAGAGCTAGACATACCGCCAATATTTCTTAATTAAAGTATCTATTTCACATATCTTTCCGCACTGTTTATTAATCATCTTATTAATCATCTAATTATGCATATTTATGATTTATTATTAATATTAGCAATTGTTGTCAATGTTATCTCAAGTAGTTATTGCTAAAAACCGTTTTAGGCAGAGGAGTCGCCTTTTTTCTTTCTTTCTTTTCTTTTCTTTTCATTTATTTATTGTCTTTAGTAGTCCTTTTGCTTGTTGTAAACTAGTTTTAGGTATTTTAATGTAAGTAAGTAGCAAACAAGTAAGTAGTAAAGCTGTAACGTAAGTAAATTTTGTAGTCTTGTTGTAAGTAAGTACCGTGTAGCTGTATTGTAAGTGAATGCCAAATATGATTATAAAATTTTAAAAAAAAAATTGAAATTACTTGTCCAGAAAAGTCGAACTAGATGCTCGTTCCTCCTCAAAGCAATATATTTTTGATATTCCAGAACAATTTCAGAGCTGAATTTTGAACGACTTCTCTCATTCAGTTGCACGGTGAGGTTCACGATATTGACACAACAAAAACAACAACAACAGTTTCTTCAGTTCGCAAATAATTTAGGACTATGTTACCCACAATAAGCGGAGCTATTCGAGGTGGGCAGCAATACAATAATTGTCTGCTATAAAAAAGTGTACAGTTCAAGGTTCTCAAGTCGGGAAAAAGAAACTAAATAAAGAAAAAGCAAAAATAATATGATATAAATAAATAAATAAATAAATAAAACGTAGCACAATTGAAAATAATAGTAGTTAAATAATAGTAAAACTATAACAACACTGTTAATACCTTGCACGGAGCAATACTATTCGAGTACAAAGATTTATTTTTGGTGACCTTGGTAAACTCCCTGTGGTCTAAAAGTTGAGGGTTGACCTTAAAGTTAACCGTAGCCATAAATGATGGTCAAAACTGGAGCGATCGCACCTGTGTCCGAGCCTACGGAGTAGATTTTCACAAATGGTTGCCGCAAAGAAGAAAGACGGAAGCATTTGCACCTGCATTGATCCAAGAGACCTCAACGAGGTGCTCATAGGACGCCCTTATTTGTCTTGGCTGCTTGGTTAGCGCTTCTTATCTGATTGACTGATTGCTGAACCAAGAGCATTAAATCAGACTGATGTAAGTCAGATTTGATGAGGACGATTGAAGATAATGCCTCACGCATGGCCAGTGTTACAGTATTCTCCAGGACTAGACAATCTATTTGTGCCTTGGTAGTATAAAACCAAAGAAGAAAAAAAAGACCATGTACAGTTTGCTATTTGGGAGTTTGTTTTGCAAAGTGGTCCTCGGAGTTTAGAAACTTTCTTGGATCAGAAAGACTTATGTGCGCTATGAAGGTCTATGAGGGTGGAAGTCATTAA